GAGTTGGAACCCAGTTACTGTCATCAATTTTGGTTGAGGAGCCATCTCTGATTTCAATCTTGATACATTTGGCAAAGAGAGACATCACAGTTAGCCAACTATTCCATAACCATGTCCCCTTTTGAGTTTTCTCTGCCTTATAAATAGAACAATCAGGGAAGTATCTGTCTTTCAAAATTTGACTCACCAAAAGATCAGGGTTTGTAGCAATCCTCCAGAGTTGTTTACATATTAGAGCTTGATTAATGAGACTTATGTCCAGAAAACCAAGACCTCCATTCAGCTTAGGAATTGTGACTTTTTCCCAACTCTTCCAATGAATTCCAGAGTCTTTTTGATCTCCAGATTTCCACCAAAATGTAGCACAAAGCCTTGAAATTTCTTTGCAAATGGCAACTGGGAGCTTGAAGCAAGTCATAGAGAAAATAGGAAGAGCTTGAATCACAGATTTCAGCAAAACTTCCTTACCCGCAGGTGACAAAAGATTGTTCTTCCAGTTCAGCAGTTTTGATCTTATGGAGTCCAAGATGTAATCAAAGACCTCCTTCTTAGACCTTCCAATTCCTAAAGGAAGCCCTAGGTATCTTGTGGACCTATGAGGGACTATCCCATTGAGAACATTGCAGATTCTGTCTCTTAATGCTTGAGGAGTGTTCCTGCTAAAGAAGATACTGGATTTCTACATATTGACCCTCTGTCCAGAAAACAACCTGTATTTTTCCATCAGAGTTATAAGATGACCAGCTTGATCGGCCCCTGCTTTGCAGAACAAAAGAGAATCATCTGCAAAAAGCAGATGAGATAGAACCGGGCCATTTCTAGAGAGTTTGAGCCCTTGGATGTCACCTTGCTGCTGAGAGTTAGTGATCATGGCTGACAGTAGTTCTGCAACAATTATGAAAAGGTAAGGGGATAGAGGGTCCCCTTGCCTGATACCTCTGGAGGGTTTGATATAGCCACTAACTTTGCCATTCACCTTGAAAGAGACAGTAGTAGTAGATACACAAATCATTAGCAACTTGACAAAATCAGGGTGGAAACCCATTTGGTTCATTATCCTCTGCAAGCATTGCCATTCAACTCTATCAAAGGCTTCCATAAGATCTAGCTTTAAGGCCATAAAATAATTTGGACCTGTGGAGTGTCTGTTTAGGTAGTGGAAATCCTCCTGAGCTATGATGATGTTGTCCATAAGCTGTCTGTCCTTCACAAAAGCTGATTGTTGATTGCTGATGCAGCTGGTAAGACATTTCATTAACCTCTGAGCCAGAACTTTAGACAGGGTCTTGTAGATAACACAGCAGAGGCTTATAGGCCTGAATTGGTTCAAGGTCTCAGGCAGTGGTACCTTAGGAATTAAAGACAGGATGGTATGGTTCCAATACCTCAAAAGTAATCCTGATTGAAAGAAGCTCATCATGGATTCCAAAATATCTTCCTTGATCAGATTCCAAAAATTTTGGTAGAACAATGCACTCATTCCATCTTCCCCTGGGGATTTATCAGGGTGGAGGGAGAATAGAGCTGCTTTCACTTCAACTTCAGTGACTGGCTTCAAAAGATCTTCATTCATATCCTCAGTTATTGTTCTGGGAATAAGGTGTATGATAGAATCTCCATCCCAACTTCCTTCTGAGTGGTACAGCTCTGAGTAAAATTCTGCTATGTGAGATTCAATATCAGCCTGAGAAGTTAAGGTAGTACCTTGAGCTGTGACCAGTCTAGAGATTGCATTCTGCTTTCTTTTTTGGAGAGTGTAAGCGTGGAAGAACTTAGTGTTTGCATCTCCATCTTTCAACCATTTCAGCCTTGATTTTTGCTGCCAATAGAGTTCCTCATGTTTGTGAGCTGCATTGAGTTCCCTCCTTGTGTTATACCACTGCTCCCAATAATCCTCTGCTTGGTTTTCTCTCAAAATTTCCAGCTTTTTAGTAAGAACTTCAATAGTTTGCTGATTTTGAGATTTTAGTTGAGAACTCCAAATAAGAATAGCAGCTCTGGTCCTTTTAACTTTTTCCTTCAGCCTGAAAAACGGGGTACCTTCTGTTGGCTGCCCCCATGCATCTTCCACCACTTCTTTAAATCCTTCCTTGCCAATCCATCTTTTGTCAAAATGGAATCTGGCACTCCCTTTTTGTTGAGGCTGGCCCAGTTGCAGGAGCAGAAGAGAATGGTCTGAGGAGCTTTTAACCTTACTTGATATTTTTGCATTAGGGAAGTCTTGGATCCAAGTCAATGAGGAAAAAGCCATGTCTAGCTTTTCTTCCACTAGGCCTTCTTCATTCCTTAAGTTGCACCAAGTGAATTGATAGCCCTCCAAAGGAAGTTCCTCCATCTCCATGTTGTTTATGAAGGAATTGAAGCCCTTCAAGCTGCTGCTGCATCTCCTAATGCCTCCTTTCTTATCCTCAGCAATCCTGATGTCATTCCAGTCTCCTATGGTGAACCACATATCTCCCCATTGTTCTTTATCTTCAATCATTTCATCCCATTGAGAGGTTCTTATCTGCTTGCAGGTATTAAAATACACAAAAATGCCCCATTGGGAGGGAGAAGAATCTAGGGAAAACTGGACTGCAATATAAAAAGATTTAACTAAGACCTTCATTACATTAACATTAGAGTCCCAAAAGAGAAGAAGACCCCCACTTAACCCTACTGGGTCTACCAAAGCATATCTAGAATCAAACCCCAACTTCCTAACTACAGATTTAACAAAGCCACTATTATTTTTTGTTTCTGAAATAAAAAAGAAAACTGGGTGATGAGCCTTAATGGTCTCTCTGATTTGGGAAACTGTAGAGGGCCCACCCAGCCCTCTACAATTCCACACCGCAGCTCACATTTGTCACTTGGGTGCCATTCAAGGCTGGCAAACCCCACCTTCTCTGAAGCTGTTTTTTGTTTTTTGTTTTCATCCTTTATCAGCATGCTTGAGCTACCCTCTTCTTGGACTTCATCCTCAGTGTCTCTGGTTCTCTTAGTAATCTTAGATGTTTCCTCTGAGATTGAGGAGATTCCTTGTCTCTGCAACCTTCCAAATCTGGACGCAGCTCTCCTCCAAACTTTGGGCTTAGTGATTTGATTGTCTTCTATAGTCAATAACTGCCCCTTATCAGAATGATCAATATCTGGAATATTCTCAACCTCCATATCTTTGCTGGTGTTCTGCAACTGAAGTAGCTGGTAGTTATCATCTGTCTGGATAGATACTGGTTGTGGTATAGTGAGCTGTTGATTAGATGGGTTGAGGAAGAAAGGATTTTGGTATGGGAAGATGATGCTTCTGAAGCTGGGATTTTTTGTTGGGAGGGTGAGTCTTCGATAGGCAATAACTGGGTGTTGTCATTGTGAGGACCTGGGGGAGTGTTAATGGGGGTATCTAAATTTCCTTGAGAGGAGGGATTATCATCTCTGGGAGGGCTTTGGGAACCAGAAGAATAGTTACCTGCCCTCTGACCTTCTTTGAGAGATCCAGTGTGGATATCTTCCTAACGCATCGAACATGCTCTTTCTAAATGTCCGATAAGACCGCAATAATGGCAATGGTTAACAAGCCTTTCATACTTGAAACCAACACTAACCTCTTGATCATCAAGTCTGAGATTAGCACAACGGGGCAGAGGTTCGTTAAGATCAACTGAAACTAGAAGCCGCATTACCTTGCCACCATGGTTTCCAGCCCCAACAATAACCACATTATGAGTATGTTTGAAGACTCTGCCTATCTTTAAGCCAACTTCAGTGCTAAGCCAGTCTAGAGGGACGTTGAAGATTTGGACCCACAACTTGAGTTCCTGGAAAGTAGGATGGTTGATTGAGAGACCTCTCTTCCATTCAGACAAAACTAAATACTGGTTATCATACGTCCAATTAACTCCTCTGGCAACCCTTTCCTTGTCTTCTTTCCTCTGGAAAATGAATTGGTAATAATTGGGGCCGAGATCTTTAATATCCATGGCTTGATTGAGTCTCCAGATTGCGGTCATTGCTCGCTCACACCAATCCAGCTCGTTTTGCGGTCGCCAACAACTTTGCCAAACAGGCTCCGGTGGCATTCATCTGCACTGATTTTAATATCGTCTCTTCTCAAATCGATGAAAGCATTCTCCTTCTCCAAAAGCGAAACACTTTGTAGCTTCTGAGAGAGCTCTTCGTCATGACCCACACACGTTGAGGAACCCATGAAACCCTAATTTCCCAGGGTAGCGATGGAACCCTGACAGATAACCGATAAAGAAGGAAGGAAATTGACGCGCTAAAAAAAGGAGGGCCTAAAAACAGGAACAAGAGAAACTCCAAGACAAGGAATCAGAAAAATGAAAGAGAAATAGAAGAGCTCCCCGGCGAGAGAATAGAGACGCTCCCTGGCGAGAGAATTTCCTTGCAGTTTTATTATATAACAACTACTCATAAGCAATTTAAAATCACATTAAATGGTATTATGATTTAAACATTTTTTTCAAACTATTTATGTGATTTTTTTTTTGTTTTAACTCATTAAACAAGTACTTTTTACTAACATTAATTATAATAATAATATTCTTTTTTATCTAGTCAATTTTGTTCATACTAAATAAAGATTGCAAAAATTTTTTATCCAGTCAATTTTGACATCGTTCATTTTTACTAATGATAAAATATATAAAATTTGATATGCTATTATCTAACTTATGATTTTAAATATTACATACACATAATAAAATTTTATTTGCATCTGTGCATGTGCA